TCACTTTAAAAAAGTTTGAAACAAAAATCATCAGGAAGTGAAAGTAAAAATAACAAAAACATCAAAAAACTTAAAACCAAAATGAAAAAAAATTTTCGCAAAATTGAAGAATTTTCCTCCCACATACCTAAATTTTTTCACATGGAAAGAATTTTTTTTTTCAAACTTTTCCCAATATTTCAACAACTAATCGAATAACTAAAGTAAAATTGTGATAAAACAAAAAGGGAAAATAAAAATTTAAGATAGAAACTGCACTAGATGCTGTCAAAAGAAGGATATAGAAGGGGATTTCCTTCTCTACTTTAATATTAAAGTGCTTTTTTATTTCTTTTCTTTTTTACGAAATTATGAGACTTAATCCAAGAAGAGAAACCAAAAAAAAAAAAATTTTTTTTTGTAGAAGAAAACTTTTAACTGCCACCGTATGCAATAAATTGAAAAATTTTACTGCGAGAAAATCACTTTTTATTACTTTATTTGATATCCTTAACGGTTTGCAGCAATTCAGAAAAAAAAATTGATAAAAAAATATTCTGCAAAATATCAGTATAGAAATTTTTCAACTTAAAATTTAATAAAAATACAATCATGAGGTATGCCATGAGGTTTTATTGCAATTCTCTGTAAATCTGTAACATACAAGGGAAATTTTTACTCTTTTGAAAGTTTGTAGAATGTTCTCTTCGTAAAAATAACAAGAGCCATAGACAGAGATGCCATTTAAGAAAATTTTATCTTATAGAATCTTTGTTTATTGCAGAATTTTTATGTTTGCAAATGCTGTAAATGAATGGTTAGAATTTAAGATATTAAATATTGCCTGTTTTAGATAATTTTTAATTAAATTTAAGAAAATTAAATTTGATTTTTCAAATTATTTATTATTAAATTTTTAATATTACATTAAAGTAGAAATTTAATCAGCCCATTTATGTGAAAAGAGAATATTATTTTTAGGATTTTGAAACTTAAGAATTCCACTAACGCTACAATGATTTTTTAAGAATTTTTAACTGCACAAATTGAATTAGAGTTCAGGCTATCTTTGTAGCTGTTACGGCGCCGAGTAAACATTGAAATCCTGACAACAATGAAAACATTAATATTTTCGATTAAATTTTTTAGACCCGAGAGCACATTATAAAACATTATTAATCATTATTATATTAAGAATTTTTCCTAGAACCAAAATTGAATTTGGAAATTTAGCGATTTATATTTTTGCATGACTCACTCACATATAGCTTACTTAAAAATAATTTAAAAATAAAATTTTTATTTTTGGCTTTTTTCTTTTTTTTTAATTTATTGTTTTTCATGAAATTTTCATTCATAAAAGTTTCCCAAATACAAAAACAAATACAAAAACGAAAACAATTTTTTTTGAACGAATAGAAAATTATTTTTAAAAATATATTTTAATTAATAATAACAATATACTTTAAGTTTTAGTCAATGTCAATTTAGTCGACTTTAGCTATATAGAAGAAAATTATTTTTAAATAATTAAAATTTGGATGAAAAATTAATAAGACAAAAATAGACAGGAAATTTTCAATTTGATCGACAATTGGTTATACTTGTAGAAATTGTATTATAAAAATTGTGAATGAACAACGTCATTTAAAATTAAAAATGTTCAGTTGATTCTGTATAAATACCTACATTATACATAGCTACTCGTATTTCGATAAAAAAATTCTAAATTTCGTAAGAATTTTCTAACAGCAACGATGGTTTTTTTTTTATTATACAATATTCGATTTGCCAAACTCATATAAATGGGTAGTTTAAACACAGTGTAATTATACTAATAAATAATATTAACAATTGTGCCTTATATCGTAAATTTAGTTTCCTCATTAATAATATTATTTTATGAAATTTAAAAATTAAAGGCGCCCGGTTATTATATATACTATTCATAGCTATATAAACTATATACATAATACACCTGTGACTTACTATATAAGATAGACTAGCCATATAATATTATTATTATTCTAGAAATTCTAAGGTAAGTAAATTTATTTTATTGTTGATCTTAAAGAATATTCAATTCATTATTATTACACGTACATTCTCTTAAATCAAAAATTATTTTTTCTCAATTTCCCTTATATTAATTTCTCTTTAAAATATAAAAGGGAAATTATTACTAATTAAATTTTTTTTCTTCTCTCTTTTTTGAAACTATTTCAATAACAAAGTCAAATAATAAAAAAAAAAACAAAAAGAAAACACAAAATCCTACCTCAATGAAAATTACAAAAATTCATGCACATACTCGTACACAATATATTATAAAATTTAAAATATATAGATAGAGAAAAACCATAACCTTCTTTACAAGAAAAAAATGTGCAAATTTAGAAATAATAAAAAAAAAAACAAACAAAATAATGAAAAAACATAAAAATTTCCCATTCACATAGATAAATTTTTACAGCCCAATATTTTAATACCTTTGCTTTTTACAGAACAACAGAGAACAGCAAAAATAATTCTTATAGGTATACAGATTTTTCTGTTATATTCTGCACAATAATGATGTTAAATAAAATATAAGATGATTTTTTTTTTTGTTATTTTCATGAATTTTTCATTTTTATATTATTTTGCTTCACATATTTGAAATGCTTAAAATAGAAATATTCTCAGTCTGTGTAAAGATTTTAAAACGATCAGTCGGGCAAAATCTTTCGGTAAAATAAATAAGAAAAAAAAAATAAGAAAATTATCAAAAACAAAAGGCAAATTTGAAAGATTAAATTTGAAAAATTTCGTGTATTTTTCCAATATAATTTGTCGTCGCGATTATTTTGCAAAATAATTTGACATTTTTGAAAAACTAAAAACTATTTTCATTATAATTTTTCTATTCTCTTTCAAATTTTAATAAAAAATACAAAATTTTAAAGAAAAATATAGTTTCTATTCTTCTTAGAATCGAAATGGTGAAAAAGAAATATTTTTAGTATTGAAAAATTTGAATGAAATTTTAAAAGGAAAAATTTATGAAAGAAAAAAGTGGAAAATATTTTCAAAATATTTTGAATATAATCAGAAGCATGAAAAATTTACAAAATTTACTACAGAAACATGTTAAAAAATGTGACTTTTTTTTCGCTTTAATTCAAGCAAATTAAGTGTGCCTATTTTTTCTCTTGAATTTTTTTAATAATTTTTCTTTGTAAATCATTTGTAAATTACGGTCGGTTCAAAATGAAGTTGTAAAAAATTTAAAGAATTTACAAAAAAGAAAAACTACAAACATTAAGAAGAAACGAGAGCGCAACAATAATATTCTTAAATACATACAAACATACAAACATGCATAATAAAGTTAAATGGTGTTATTTCTTAATTTAAATATTTTTCTCATAAAATAAGTAAAAAAAAAAAAATTTTATACAAAAAAAAAAATTAAAGAAAAATTAAAAATATTCGAAGAAGAGCACAAGAAAATAACAAATAAACGGAAAAATAACAACAACAACACCAACAATAATAATGAAAACGAAAAAAAAAAAATAATAAAAAAATAGCAAAGAGAAAATCATTTTTCAATAAAATGTCTTTGATCTGAATTCGTCCGTCTTTTTTTTCGTTGTTGAATTTTTTTTTCTTTGGGGTTTTTGTTTTTGGAGTAAGGTCATATTGCAAGGCGTCGCGACGTGTTATGAAGGAGAATCTATTAATTTCTATTTTCTGATTTTTGTTTTTTTTTTTTTTTTTATTTTTCGTTTATAATATATGTGTATATGAAAAAAATATTTATGTTTTGATTAAAAACGAGAAACAAAACAAAAAAAAAACGAAACAAAACACAATTATAGAAAAAGAAAAACATATGCAAGAAAAGCTGTAGAGAAAAAAAGTGTGTAAGAATAAAATAAAAAAATAAAAATTTTTAATAGATTTTCATTAGATATAGTATAAATCTCTGTGTGTTTCTTGTAAAAATTAAAAATATTAAATAAGAAAATTAAATTTAATAAAAAATAAAATAAAAAAATTCCCAACATAAAAAAATAAGTGATGGTAATAAATTTTCGTTTCTTTTTCTTATTTTCTTATTTTTATTGTTTTATGAATTTTTTAATTTAGTTAAGAATATTATGTACCCATGCTAATATAAATTTATTGTTATTTAAACAAAAAACAACAGCAATAACAACAACAGCAACAATAACAATAACAACAATAATAAAACAAAAAGAAGAGAAAAAAAAAATAGTTGTTATTCATTTTTACATTTTATAAATTTATTCTTTTTTTCTTATTTTAATTTATTTGGTTTATTTATTTGAGAAAAAAAAATAGATAGAGAGAAAAGAATTTCCAAGAAAAGAGAAAAATATTTTAAATAATAATAAAAATACCTTCTTCATAATATACATATATAATATTGGTGAAATTAAATTTATTTTTGTTTTTCTTTAAAAAAGACAACAAAAACAAAAACAACAATAGCAACAACAACAGAAGAAAAACCCAATTTGTAACCATTTTATATACATAAACACCCAAACCCAAACCAAAACCAATTAATTCAAAAGAATGAGGGAAAAAACACAAAGAAAAATATAAACAAGAAAACGAAATCAAAAGAAAAACAATAAAAAACAAAAAAAAAGGAAAAACGATCCCTTAAAAATCAAAAAAAAAAAAATTTATTCCAAAAACACAAATTTTTTTTTTTTTATATTCAATAATTTATAGTTTTTATGGAATAAAATTTTTGGTTTTCTGAAAATAACAAAAAAAAAAAATTTTTAAATTTCTAAATATAAAATAATAAAAATATTTTTATTAAAATAAATAAAAATAATAACAATAAATATTTGACTTTTAAAAGACAAACAAGAAAAACTTCAAACTTAAGGAGACATAAAAAATTTTTGTTTTTTTGGGTTTTGGGTGCCCTTATAGTTTTCTTTTGTGTGTTTGAAATTTCCTTACACTTTTTCCTTATTGTTTTTCTTTACAATTTTTTTGGTTTTGGGTTCTTCATCTCGACTTTTTTTTTTGGGAGAGTTCCCTTTTTTTTGTGAAAAAAAAAAAAAATTATTCAAAAGAAAATTTTAAGGTAAAATTTTTTTATTTATTTTTAAAATATATTTAAAATTTTTGTATACCCAATTTTTCTCCTACATATTTTTTTGTATAAAATTTAAAATTTAATATTAAGAAAACTGGAATTAAAAACACATATTTTTAAAAGAATTCTAAAATAATTATTATAACTGTTATATTAGTCTAAATAACTGAATAAAATATTTCCGATTTTAAATGAGATTCTGAGATTTGCATTTTTGATATTTTTACTTGTAGGTAGAGCATGGAAAGGTTTTCAATTCCAATTCAAAAGTCGTCTTTTAACATTTAATTGAATGTTTATTTGTTATACAATTCTATTGTATTGAAATTGATTGATATTATTGAGAACCCTTTAAATGAATAAGTGTTCTATGATTTATACAACTATATGATAATAATTAAGAATATATGGAAAAATAATAATTTTTTTGGAATTTTTTTAACTTCTGGAATGATAGTAAGGTCATAACTAACAAGAAATTTCAAATACGTATAGTAATATTAAGGGCATAGAACGGTATAAATTTGAATTATAATTTTTAGAACACAATTCAACTTAATCTGTAAATCATTTACCATGGGCTTAGGGAGTATGCATGATGTTGCCATCTTTTCTATTCGAACATTTTAATTAATTATTATTATTAAACGAATTGCTTAGGCTAAGCATTAAATACCATGCAAACAAAATGTTCTATGAAGGAGAAAAAATAATCGTCACTTAGATTTACAAAATATCAAGCTTTCAATGCGCTTAACTAATTAAAAGACTACTGAACAAAGTCTTCAAGTAAATATTGAACTATTTTATTGTAAAATTAGCGCTGTCTTGCTAAAAATTTCAAATACATTCCAAATACTTACTGACTTTACAATTACGTTTTAGTAAATTAGAACAAGAGTGATCAAAATTTCTATAAAAAATTTTCAGTAAGAATTCCAACATTTTTCAGTGTTATTTCGAACGCTTAAATTTTGAACGAAATCAAATTGTTTTAATTTGTATTGGATTGAAATTAGTTAATGAGATCAAATCATTTGTTATCTACTTCTCAACGCCACAGAACTAAAATAATAATTATAATAACAACACACACTATAATAATACTTTAATTAAATAAGAAAGATTTCGGTAATATAGTAACAAGTTTAGCTACCTAATATTACCCATACAATTTATCTATTTATTGCCTCCCTCACATGCTTACTATAAAAATAAGCAAATCATTGCAAGCCTTTGAATAGAAAAATTTCCCTTCTGTTTTATATAAGATTTACTTATACAGTTACCAAAAAGTTATTCCTAAATATAGTTATCTTCTACCCCTAATATAATCTTTCATTGATTGCTATTAACACTCTCTTGGGATTAACTTTAATTTAATTGAAAATGATTAAATATTGATGTGTTTTTTTTTCTATGTAGTACTTAAGTTACTTCTCAGTAAAACCTTAATTGCATTGGGAAAATACAGATAGAATTTTGCAGAAATTTCCATAGAATCCACAATTTAAAAATAAAATGATTTTCTGATCTGTATGTAGGTATACACAAAAATAGAAATAGGCCAGTTTTTCATAGTTTGCTCATGAAAAGAGATAAGGGGAAAAAAACTTTAAATTCAATATTTTCCATTTTCAATTAAAATTTTCTTTTAAAAAACCCATACAATTTTTTTTTTTGCTCTTTCTGAAGAAAAAAAAACCTTATATTGGAAGAGTTTTCTAATTTTTCATTTGGGTCTGGCTAAATTTTTTTTTTTAGGTTTATTCGATATATGAGCATCCTAGTAAGCGGAATTCATTTTCTTATTAGATATTTATTGGTTTGTATTGGAATACAAGAGGGGCGGGAAGAGAGTGCCATAAAGAATAAAAAAGGATACAAATTGTAAAAATTTAATTTAATTTTACGAATAATTAAAAAGAGAAAAGGTTAGGAGTGATTGTCATTTAACAAAAAAAAAAAAAATTCTATATACTTGTACATAAGCAATTAAAAATTTTTAGATCCAATCACGTCCAATTCCAATATAAATAAAAAAAAATTATGTAAAAAGTTTCAAACAAGACAAGGCAATTAAGAATTTTTTTTTTCTCTGTGTTGGGGAAAAATAAATTTCATTTTCATTTTCTAAAAATTTGAAATTCTAATTAATTTTAAAATTTGTGTTTTCAATTTTGTATCTAAAATTTTTGATTTAGAAATTATAGATGAGCCTTTTATTTTGGAATATAAATTTTGGGCTTATAGTTAAAGATTAATATTTCAAATTTTTCCTATTTTTCAATTATAAAAATGTAGAAAATCAAAATTAGTATAAATTTTATAGTTTTGAATTGAATTTTTCATTTTAAATTCAATTTTATTTTGTGGAATTAATTGTTTTTTTGGTAAAATATTTACAAAAATCTAATTACTTAAATAAATGAATAAAATTAAAATTCTCATTTTATGCAAATCAATTTTAAGTATAGACTTCTTTTGTTCGTTTGTTTGTAAGTATGTGTACGTATATTTATTTGTATTCAACAAGCTTTTTCTAATTACATTTTCAGTTTGATTAGTGATAAAATCAGGAATAATATTTTCTAAAATAATTTAAAAAACATTTTTAAGGTAGTGTTATGTTGCTAGATTTGTGTGTTTATTAACTGAGTTGATGGCAAGTGCATATTTTTGATTTAATGTTGAATTATTTTGGCTTTGAATGGGTGTTTACATCTTATTGGTTGCATTTACTCTGAAAGTAGTTTGAAGATTTAAGAGTAAACATTATATTTCGTTCTTTTTGAAGAATGATGCCACATCATACAATAAAAAATTAATGTATCTATAACCTCCTACAGGAGGTACGTATATGTATTTACGTATGGCGTATATGTAATTACGTATACATATACGTAAATTACATATAGGTCATGTATAAACTTTATTATTTATGTGGATTGTAGACTGTGACGATGCATCGCGCTCCTCAAAGATCTGTTGTGCGTTTTTCCTGATCGTAAGCTGATAATTTATAAGTATTTCCTTTCTTTTGTAGATCGATACTCCGTAGTCCCCCAGAAGGAATACGAAGAAATTTTTTTTTTTTTTTTTTTTTTCTACTATGTGAAAAAAATCTCGAAAGACGAAGAAGGACGGCTCTATCTGTTTTTTTCCTCCGACAGGCCGTCTCTCAGGGATCAGTCGCAGACCAGAGAGCCACTCATTTTGAGTCCGTCGTGTCTGGATGATCATTTGGATTTTAGTGGACTCTTCCCACAAGCATACCTTACTGCGGATATTTCGTAGCCCAATCCGCCGGGGGGACGAAGAAATCTCTCCTTTCTCCAGAAAATTCTAGAATGGTCTTAAACTTCCACTTTCTACAATGGTCTGACAGTATATTTCGGGCAAAACCTGAACCTGGTTTCAGCCCATTCTTATTATCATAGAATTTTTTTTGATTTTAATCTCACAAAAGTTGCCTCGTATATTGATGTTCTAGACTTTTCCAACGCTAGTACCGTTCCCCCTCTAATTGTTTCGTCAAAAAGTTCGCCAAGAGTCGTAGTTCGTATATCGAGTCGTATAATGTTTTGCTGAAATTTTCTTTTCAATTGAATTTTTATTCAGAACTACAATGTTTTAATTACTTTTGGTACTTTTACTCAAACCTGCAGCATTATAGTTCTTTGTACAAGACTACGGGATTTTTCTTTTGAAAAATTTATTATTTACATTCTTAATTATTCTCTATAGGTAGACGTAGGTGAAAATTTATTTTCTATAAAAAATTCAATACCCATTTTTAAATGGATAGCTATTGACATTTTATTGAACGAATGTTCACTTTTAATGTAGTCTAACTATGATGAACCTATACTATGTTTAGAACTCTACAGTACGTCATGTTCATCATAATAATAGGTTTATACCTAAATACTACCACCTACACATCTATAATATACTAAATAATAATATTATTTTAATGGAAATCTAAAAAGTTAAATAAATTTTCCATTTTGTGTAAATGAACTAACAAATTTCTGTGACACAATAAATTTCTGTTTTTCTGTGTATACTTTATAGAACAAATATTTTGATGTTTTCTGTATAATTAATGATATTATAGTATCAAATTATTTATACATATTTAAAATTATATAAAGGAAAAGAAAATTCATATAATATAGAAAATATATGGGGGCTTTAATTTCTCTATGTAATTAAGTGGAATAACAAAGGAATGAATTATTTAAAGAGTAGAATTATTTTGTACATATATAAATAAATTTGCTTACATATTTATTTAAATACATAAACTTAATTTTATTCAAAAAATTATAAGAAATTTTATGCTTTCAAAATAGATTTTAAATAAGTATAGTCCATTATAGGATTATAGTTAAAATAAGAGTTTTAATAAAGGAAAATTTTGCTTTTTAGATCTTAAATCAAGAATATTATTGAAATTTAACTATAAATTTGCAATTCTTGTTAAATAGGACAGGAGGGAATTCTATTTTCTGGTGAAGTTCCCAATCCACCTTATGCTTGCCAACAAAATAAAACACAGTGCCAAAAATATTAAGGGTTATTTTCCTATCAAATTAATAATATCTGTAAATTTCAAAAATCTCGTCGGAATTTTAGAATATTACATATTTTACGTTTTACTGCGAACTCACATAGTCATGATAACGAAAAATTCAGTTTTGAGTAATTATTTCTCTTCTTACTTACTCTTCTTTCTCACTTACTCTTCTTCTTACTGACATTCTTCTTACTCTTGAATGAGTTTATAAGAGAAAGCAAAACGTTTCTAATTAAGAATAGCTGTTTAAACAATTCAAATTTAATTGAAAACTAAATCGTTCACTCTTAGACAATTAAATTTCAAACTGATTCAAGTGTAATTTTTCAATAAAAGAAAATTATACAAATTAAAATCTTGATCCTTTTAAACTAAATTTTAATTTTTTCTCCAAGTCTTCTCAAAT